TAACTAAGATACTTTTTTATGAACTCTAAAATAATCAAAAGCTCCCCTTGGTGAGTATAGTACAGGGCGATAATGTGACCAATACCAAGACTAATAAAGATATTAGCGATGATATGTATGAAAAATATGATACTTATTATTAAAAAATTAGTCAAATGAACAGTAATTTTTCGGCCCATTAGGTCGTATACATTTTTATTCAATTAAAGGTTAAAGAGAGAATAATGAAGTAGAAAAGATGAAGAAGGGAAGAAAACGAAGAAAAAGCGAAATAAGAAGGGGAAATGGGACTATGAAAATATTTGTTATAGGCAAGAAATGTTTCGGTCTATTAAGTCGTATACATTTCTTATCGTTTACCACAACTGGACCTCGTCAGTACGACGATTATGGTAACAAAATAATTTAGACGGTTTAGTGTGGTACAGAAATTATTTAGGATAAAAACAGACAAGAAAGAGAATAGAAGACTGTTCTTACCACCATCAGTTATTCAAAGAGGTGAAAAATCAAAAATACTAATAAGGTTGAGAGAATTCCATGAAGGTAAGGGTTCCGAAAGCAAGAACTATTATTGCAGTAAAGGAATTTCAAAAAATTTTTAAAAAAGAAAACCGCAAAAAATTACCAACATAAGTGTATATAACAGCTGATTGCCCGCGAAAAAGCTTGTCGTAACGAACAATTTTACCCTGAAAAAAAAAAACGGCTAAGTAAAAAAGAAAAAAATTTCGGCCTATGTTTTCAGTTAAAAGATTGCACATCCCAAAATATCTTCTTGCACACGATATTCTTTGGATATCTTGTTTTCTTCCAACAGAATAATCATAAGAAAACTGGAAAATAATCATGAAACGAAGAAAAAAGAAATCATGAAACAAACGATCTGTGTAAAAAGGCATTACTCGACAATCCACCCAACACAAATCGACTGCTTCTGGGGCACTGTTCACAAACCGGACACGAATTCGTTCTCGGCTCAGCGGAGATTTGATTGTCGGATCGCTCAGCGAAAATGGATCAACATGAATTTCATTCGCCAACATATAACTGATATTTCTGTTAATTGCCCAGCACTGCACGAAATGCTCTTTTTTCTTAAAATAGTAGAGATTAGTCAAGAATGCGGCGAAAACTTGCAATAATGATCGGTGCGCGAAAAATGGACTGTTTTAAGATTACGATACGGCCTTTTAACGGCCGCACTTTTCCATTATTCACTTGTAACGGGCTCGAAAAATTCATGCGTGGGCTGTAGTGTTTGGAATGCTGGCAGTACATGTAAAATACATAAGTTATGGGCAATACAAGGAGTGAATTGCGGGAAATCCAGGTATAAACATAAACCAAATTTCGCATTTCAGTTTTCCCATTTTATTTTCAAAATGCCGTACTTTTTCTACTTTATTTAAATGTGAGTTTTCCTTCTCTACTAACGAACATCGTGTAATTGACAAATAGCGTAGAACTCGTGTGACAAAGCTCCAGGGGAAACCAGACTTTCTACG